AATGATAATATTAAGTCCAATAGGATCTGTATTGTTGTCTCCAAAGTTCTACTTTTTGCGATATCCAGAAGATGTCAATGACGTAAAGGATAATCAAAATTAGTAAAAATAGAACAGTTATTACTTACAGTTGACAGAGCTTAATCCAGCTCTGGTGTGAATGGCTTACAGCGGTATTATCCCCGCTTGCAGGATATACTGCAAGTATCCTCTTCTATGTAGTGGCAGATGACCAAGTTGGAAATAAAAATGGAAACAATAATGGTGCAGTATGTTTCACACGTGCAATAAAAGGTATAAAATATAATAGATACACTCACATTCGGTACAGCTTCGGCTAGCTCTAGTTTGTTAGGCGTGCAGCGGTATAATCCCCGCTTGTAGGATATAGGATGAGTGATCTTGACGAGAATATCAGGAGCTCGGAGAGAAGATAAAACAACGATAGTGCTCTCAATAAAATCTTGGTGATGAATAAAATAATAAAATATACTCACAGTGTATAGGGCAGGCTAACTGCTCTATGTAACAGCGTAGGTGGTATAATCCCACCTAGGATTCTTTGGAGTATAATACCCAGGAAATAAAAATAATAAAAAAAAGTATATAGTATAAAATATATATGAAAGTCCAGGTGATAGTAAAAGATGATGGTTTAAACGTAAAAAATGACCAAAATCTTTTTATTAACAGTATATAAAAACAGTAAAAGTATCCAAACGCGTTTCACCAGTATAAGGCTTTATACTGCTTCTTGTAAAAAGCAAACCAAGAACTGGTGTGTGTTTTTTATAGGGCAGGGCAGCTCTAACCAACACCTTCAATCTCATCGCATTGATTGGACTCCAGTTGGCTGACATCTCACTCCAATTAGCTCTTGGAGATGTCATTAGTCTAGGGGTTCACATACTTTTTCCACCTGCACTGTGAATGTTTACATGGTGTGTTCAATAAAAACATGGCAACATTTCATTCTTTGTGTGTTATTAGTTTAAGCAGACTGTGATTGTCTTTTGTTGTGACTTAGATGATGATCAGATCACATTTTATGACCAATTTGTGCAGAAATCCATATCATTCCAAAGGGTTCACATACTTTTTCTTGCAACTGTATATACATATATATATATATATATATATATATATATATATATATATATAATTTAAAAAAATATATTTTTACAGTTTATTTATGAAAGTGCCAGCTACGGAGCTGAAATGTTGATGTAACCTACTGGAATAAAAGAGAAGATTTTACTTGCGAAATCCTGAGAGTGCCTGTATTTTTTTTATTTTGCAATATATATATATATATATATATATATATAAAATAAAAAAAATACAGGCACTCTCAGGATTTCGCAAGTAAAATCTTCTCTTTTATTCCAGTAGGTTACATCAATATTTCAGCTCCGTAGCTGGCGCTTTCATCAGGACATCATGTCCTGATGAAAGCTCCAGCTACAGAGCTGAAATGTTGATGTAACCTACTGGAATAAAATAAATTTTACTTGCGAAATCATGAGAGTGCAGGTATTTTATTGATTATATCTTCTAGCACCTGGGCACCAGGTTTTTTTTTTTCTATTTATATATATATTTTACATTTTTACTATTAATACAAAAATACACTTAGTAAAAAATACACTTAATTTATTAACTTTATTTAATTTTTGTTTTTTAAATTTAAATTTGTTTTAACTTTTACGCCAGCAGGGGGACTACCTGACAGTTCAGGCAGTCCCCCTGCTGGCAGCACTGTGGAAACCTATTGCGACCATGTGACCGCTCTTTTTGAGCACAGACAGTCCACCTCAGAAGAAGACCGATCGCCAGCATATCGGTACGTACATAGGGAGGGAGGGTAGGGGTTAGTTTTCTTTTCTAAATTTAATTTTTATTTTTTTATTTTAATGTTTAATCTTTTTATTATATTTTGTGTTAGACATACACATATAAAAAACAAACAAACAGACAATACACATGGACATTACAGTACAAAGGTTAAGTACATGTGATATATCAAGGTTAATGGATTTAGACTGTTATTGGATTATAATTAAAAAAAAAATTCCCTTATTTTATTGATCCATTGATCATAATTGTAAATGTAGTGTAAATTATTATTTGCATAGGAAACTCCCCTTTCCATTTCAAGTTGGAAGATTCGTTGTTGTTTGTATTGAGTAAAATCTGGCATTGAGATTTGTTTCCATAGTCTCGCAATAGTTATTTTTGCGGACATAAGACAATGAGAGTCAATATTTGATGATTTATTTTTTTTTTAAAGTATACCCCAGTTAAGATGTAAAAGACCTTTTTCTGGGGATTTCCTTAGATTTATATTAAAAACTAACATACTAGAGTATATCGAGTCCCAGAATGTAATTATTCTTGGACAATTCCACCAAATATGTAACATAGAGCCTTCATGGGCTAGATATCTCCAACAAAGTGGAGAGTTAGTCACTGAAATTTTAACCAGTCTGGTTGGGACTAGGTACCACCTGTAAAGAACTTTGAAGGATGTTTCTATAATATTAAGACAATGTATATGTTTTTTTATTAATCTTAACAGAAAACACCATTTGTCGTCTGTAATTTGTTGATTCAGATCTTTTTCCCATTTCTTTTTAGCTGGAGGATCTGTGCTTAAATATGATTGTCTTATTAATTCTATAGCTATAGAGCTAACTGCTTTGACCTCTCTTCTTTTAAAGATTTTATGAATTAACCTCTTGTTTCCTTCTGCCTTTAAGAGAAAATCGTTTAGAAAACCTCTCACTCTTATGTATGAAAAAGTCTCTTTATCAGAAATATCCAATTCTGATTTAAACTTTTCAAATTAGCTTAACCTAGAGTCTTGGAGAATTTCTTCAATAAAGATTTCTTTATGAAATCTCCATGTACTAAGGTTTAAGTCTGGCATGACTTTTTCCAAGAGTCGGAGGTTAGCTCCCTCAAATATTTTACTGGCAATCTTAAGTTTCTTTTTTATTAATTGCCATTCTTCTATAAGATGATTTAAGGCCATTGAATTGAATTGTATTAATTGATGGTTACGCTTAGTAAAATCGTCCCATATGAGGAGGGCTAGGTCTCTTTCGGTGGATCTAAATGTTCCTATTTTAAACCAAGCTAGCTCTTTTGCATTATAGATCTGAAATTTACAAATATGGGTAATTATGTTAGCCCAATATATATAATTTATTAAGGGGTATCCCATGCCTCCTTTATTACTTTTTTTTTTTGTGAGGACTTGTAATTTAATTCTTGGAGTCTTTCCTTTCCATGTGAAATTGCAAAGAGAATACTGGACCATGTCTAATACTGGACCAGGTCTTGGGAAACTTTAATGGAATCATTTTAAAAAGATACGCCCATTTAGGGATAATATATGCCTTTATCGTGTTGACTCTTCCCCACCAAGAAATCTAAAAAAAAACACCATTCTTTAAGGGTTCTATTAGTGTGTTTTATCAGTTTCAAAAAGTTGGTTTCTACTATATGTTTTGGATTTGCTGTAGGGATTAAGATTTATAGTCAGACCTGTTGTTTTTTTTTAATGTTAATTTTATAATTGGAGATATCCCCGTATATTTGGACTTCCTGCATCAGATGGTCAAGTGACAAAATAGGATTAGTGATAGAAATCAGAACGTTGCCTGCATACAGACAAACTTTCAATTCGGAATTACCTATGGTGATGCCTTTTATTTCTGTATTTTTTCTAATGCTGATCACAAATTGCTCAATTAAAAGAACATATAGGAGAGAGAGGGCAACCCTATCTTGTCCCGTTTTAAATATCAAACCATTCTCTACAGAAATCAGACCCCACTATTCTAGCTGTTGTGCAGGTATATAAAGCTCCGATAGCATTTGCTATCCATCCTTCCAGCCCGAGTGATACTAGGGTTTTCTACATATATCCCCATCCGACCCTGTCGAAGGCCTTTTCTGCATCCACCAACAGGGTCAGAAGGGGTGTCCCTAAGGATTGAGCATGTTTCAAGATATCGATCATCCTACGTGTGTTATTACTAGAGTATCGACCTTGGATAAAACCTATTTGGTCAGCATGAATCAAATCAGGAAGTAGTAGAGTTAGTCTTCATGCTAAAACTGAAGCATACATTTTAATATCTGTATCAATCAATGAAACTGGTCTATAGTTCGTAATATCTGTTGGGGGTTTATTCAATTTAAAAATATGTTTTATATTAGCTCTTAATTATTGTTTTGTTATATTGCCCGTAGAGGCAATTTCATTGAATGTTGCAGTCAATTTTGGAGAAATAATATCTTTGAATGTCTTAAAGAACAGGTTTGAGAAGCCATCAGGGCTTGGTGGTTTTATAGTTTGAAGATTGTTTATAACCATATTTACTTCTTCTTCTTTTATCTTTTTATTTAATTTCTGTTTTTGTTCCAAAGTAATTTGTGGGATTTTTATTTTTTCTAAATATTTGTCAATGGCTGATTCTATGGAATTACCTTTTAGGTTATATAATTCCTCGTAATATTGCCTAAAATAATTTCCAATACTTCCTGGAGTTAATAAGATATTTTCCCCTTCTATAATTTTATAGATCTTATTATCTAATTTGTTTTTTTTTTTAATCTGTTTGTTAATATTCTGTCAACCTTGTTGTTACGATAATAATATTTAATTTTAAGTCTTTTCAGGTTAAATTCAGTCCTTTCCAGGGTCTTTTGATTTATCTTATTTTTGTATTCAATAAGATCAGCATTCTCTTGTAGGTATTTCTCTCTGTTCTGGGCTATTAAGTTATATAATTTTATGTAAAGGTCTGCCAGACTAACCCTCGTTCATTTCTGTCTTGACTAGCTAATTTTATCAGGTGGCCTCTGATTACAGTAGATTACAGCTGATTACAAAGATTTATATTTGATGTATGTTGTGGTAGGTTTTCAGCAAAGAATAACTCTGAAATATTTTTTATATATTCTTTGTTTCTTTTGGTAGCTAATACAGAGTCAGAAAAGAATAAAAAGGGGAAGGGGAGAAAAAAAGGAGAGAAAAGGGAAAGAAGCGCTAGTTCTTAAAAATCTACTCTCTTATCATTTAACTTCTCTCTGGGACATAAAGTCTCATTTTTAAGAACTAGCGCTTCTTTCCCTTTTCTCTCCTTTTTTTCTCCCCTTCTCCTTCTTATTCTTTTCCCCCAATCATACTCCCCTTTTTTTTATTATTCTTTCATTGTTGATTGTTGACCCTTCTATTTTTATTAAAAAAAAACTAAATATATATATATATATATATATATATATATATATATATAATATATATTTATAATAAGGCCTGAATTATAGTTATGAAATATTTAAGTATAAGGTTTTTTTATAAGATCTCTCAGTCTTATCGTGATCTCAAGTTATAATTCCCTCCATCTCGTTTGTGGTTACTACTTATTTGTATTGGAGTATAAGAGAATTCCCTCTTCAATTTCTTATCTATTCTTCTCCATCGTTCCCCTTCCTTCCCTCTCTCTCACTTCTTTGTCTACTTTATTTCTATTTTGTCTTAACTTTTTATGTTACTCTATAAATTAGCGTATGTGTAATAGTGTTATATTAGTAAAATAAATTGAATATATTAGTAGTCTTATTGATTTTAATGTAAAAAAAATGAAGTTATTGTATTTATATTTCAATTTCTTATCGTAAACTGCGCCCTTAAACTCAGTTTCAATTATTTTACATCCCACTTCCCTTTGTCTATTAGTGATATATATCTTAGAATAATAATTTACAAGAAATAGTGTTTGTTAGTATTAGACTTGTTGAGTAAAAACCTCAAGTTAGTATATTAATGTGATTAATCTATATTAGTGATCATTCCTATTACAGAGACTTATATCTGTGAGAGGGGGAAGGAAAGAGAGGGAAAAAAATAGCAAAGGATAAAGAAGGCACTGCAAGGTTCTTTTAAGTTCTTCTCGACTCTTCTTCCTCTGTGTTACGTGTTTATCTAAAATTGGTAATATTCAACCATTCTCTTGCCATGTCATAAGTCTTGAATGTATGCCAATCATTGTAATGCAGGATCTGGAGTGAAGGCTGGTATCGCCATCTGAATTTTGTGTTTTGTCAGTGTCTGAAAGATTGGAGAGAACTCTATTCTTTTTATCCTTGTATTATATGAAAAATCTGGAAGGGTGTACATGTCTTTAAATTTCTCTTCAGGAAGTTTGTTCTTTTTCAGTGTAGATAGGATGAGGTTCCTGGTTTCGTACGAATGAAATGGGACTATAACGTCTCTTGGAAAATTCTATGGCATCGTTCCTTTTTGATGTCATGCAAGTCTAATGAAACATTCAGAGCCATATAAAGTTCTTTAAAAAAATCTCTTAGTTTGTCATCTGATATATTTTCTTAGATGTTTCTAAACCTAAATTTATTCTGCGCGCACGGTCTTCTATGTCAGCTATTTCCTTTTCAGTGTTACTATTTTTGCCTCCATCTTGTTGTGTGTTTCTTTAAGTGTTTGAAGCTGGAACTCCATATATTCTTCTTTCTCTACTATGCTTTGAATTTGAGACAAAAACTTTAGAAATATCTCTATAGAATTATCTTGGGTTTCTTTTTTATTTCTTTAAGTGTGTTGTCCAAAAGATTTTTCATTAATTCTGGAGTGATATTATTTGGGTCTGAGGGAAAAGGTGCTATTGGAAAGGAAGACTCCAGAGATAATTCTTCATTAACCTCCTGGTTCGTTTGAGGTGAGAAAAAAGTTACTAACCTCTTTTCTTGCTTGGTAGTTTTTTTTTTAAATTGTTTTTAATATTAGTTTTAGGATCTTGAGAGCGTTTGGTAGTCATTATCCTTTCTGATTTTAAACAAAAAAAACAACCAAACCAAACAAACAAAAAAAAAACAAATCACTGCGAACGTTGAGGTAGCAACCAGGAAGGGAATTTCACAAAAATGTGATAATTTTTCTCTTTTTTTCTCTCTTTTTTCCTTCCTGTATTATCTTCTCTTATCTCTCTTCTTTATCGCCGTCTTTACATCAATTTCCTCCTTTCGTTTGATCTATCTTCACGTATTGAATATATGTTTTGCTTTATTTGTCTTCTTTTTCTTTCTCTTTATTTGTTTTTAGTGTTTCGCTTTATATTTTAATATTGGTCCTTTTCTTCATTAGTATGCAAAAAGGATTTTTTGGATGTTGCTCTTCACCCTAGAAAAAAAAAAAAGGGCTATTGGGGTCTTAACAGGTTGGTTCTGGAATTATCTTCTTGAGTGCTATTAGCTTATCCCCTTAACCCCTTAAGGACTAAACTTCTGGAATAAAAGGGAATCACGACATGTCACACAAGTCATGTGTCCTTAAGGGGTTAAGGACCAAACTTCTGGAATAAAAGGGAATCATGACATGTCACACATGACATGTTAAATACCTCATACATCCATGGTCCTTAAGGGGTTAAACTGGATAAGTGCAAGATAATTCATCTTATGCATAAAAACCAGAGTACAAACCAAATACAGAGTATAGAATACTTGATACAGTCCTAACCTCTACAAGGGATTTAGGGGTAAATATTTCAGATTACTTAAATGTAAGCAGACAATGTAATAGTTCAGCAATGTAATAGATCAGGCATACAATGTAATACATCAGCAAGGAAAAACAGCGAATAAATTGAGCCAAGTTAGATACACAGGAAAAGTGGGGGGTAACCCCAAATGAAGAATAAAGAGAACAGGATGAAGTGTATCTAAATCATGATGCAAGATATAAGCATCAACGAAATTCAAGATAGCCAACAAATAGCCTACTATAAAGGCCAGATAAAGCCACTAAAAACAAAAATAATAAAAGTTTATTAAACAAAACAAATATGAAACCCAAAAATGTGCTACCATATAAACACCCAAAAGTTGATAAATTTAAAATGATTACTAGACAGATCTATAGAAAAAAATAATATAGATCGTCTAAATCAAATAAAACAAACAATATATATAGTTGCAGATCAAAAAGTGAAAGCCATTCCTGTCAGTTATGGCTGGTAATAGGCCAGGCTAAAAAAGCAGAATGCCAATCCAATGGATCGGTAAATATATTGGATCTGGCACTTTAAATCTCCATAATAGAATAATGTACCATATATGTCTTATCCAAGATATGAATCAATATGGAGAGTAGTTAATTATCCATAGTGATAAATAGTATACCAAACTAAAAGGTCTGTCTAATAATAAGTAAATCAATTGTAAGGTCTGTCTCTTTAAATAACGTACTGATGGACAATATAGGTCTTCTAAATAGCTAAACAAAAGCTAATATTAATAGATGTTAAATGTCTATAAATCACAGCAAAGAAAATAGAAAATAATTAGATCGATATTCAGCTGATAAGATAACAGATCTTAGAGTAATGGAGGGATAACCTGCATGAGAAGATTCTGCTAGTAAGCTGGATAGACAATATATATGTGGATAAATCACAGCATGTATAAACTGAACCGACAGTAGAGCAGTCATAGAGATACGTCTGGGAGGAGCAGGATAAAGGAAAGAAATACATGAAAAAAGGGGTTACAATAGGAGGTGCTACAAAGTGTCTGTTTGGTAGCACACAAAATGTATAGAGAGCTATTAGCAATGTGAAAGACAAAATGTGTCTAAATAATACCCTCTATAAATATGTATTGTGTCCCGTGCCTTCGAGGGCACCTAGCTCCAACCCCCCAGATGGCCGATAAATAAGTAAATCTAAAAAGTAAGATCTGCAAAAATTAAATATAATAAATGAAAAAATAGGGAATGAACAGCGCGGTCGCCAGTCTGTGTGCTGCACGAAAGGTCCAACACGTGCAGCACACCACAGTCCTCTGACACGCGCGTTTCGCTACACCTAGCTCGTCAGACGAGTATATGCTTTATTCTTCATTTGGGGTTACCCCCCACTTTTCCTGTGTATCTAACTTGGCTCAATTTATTCGCTGTTTTTCCTTGCTGATGTATTACATTGTATGCCTGATCTATTACATTGCTGAACTATTACATTGTCTGCTTACATTTAAGTAATCTGAAATATTTACCCCTAAATCCCTTGTAGAGGTTAGGACTGTATCAAGTATTCTATACTCGTCAGACGAGCTAGGTGTAGCGAAACGCGCGCGTCAGAGGACTGTGGTGTGCTGCACGTGTTGGACCTTTCGTGCAGCACACAGACTGGCGACCGCGCTGTTCATTCCCTATTTTTTCATTTATTATATTTAATTTTTGCAGATCTTACTTTTTAGATTTACTTATTTATCGGCCATCTGGGGGGTTGGAGCTAGGTGCCCTCGAAGGCACGGGACACATATACATATTTATAGAGGGTATTATTTAGACACATTTTGTCTTTCACATTGCTAATAGCTCTCTATACATTTTGTGTGCTACCAAACAGACACTTTGTAGCACCTCCTATTGTAACCCCTTTTTTCATGTATTTCTTTCCTTTATCCTGCTCCTCCCAGACGTATCTCTATGACTGCTCTACTGTCGGTTCAGTTTATACATGCTGTGATTTATCCACATATATATTGTCTATCCAGCTTACTAGCAGAATCTTCTCATGCAGGTTATCGCTCCATTACTCTAAGATCTTTTATCTTATCAGCTGAATATCGATCTAATTATTTTCTATTTTCTTTGCTGTGATTTATAGACATTTAACATCTATTAATATTAGCTTTTGTTTAGCTATTTAGAAGACCTATATTGTCCATCGGTACGTTATTTAAAGAGACAGACCTTACAATTGATTTACTTATTATTAGACAGACCTTTTAGTTTGGTATACTATTTATCACTATGGATAATTAACTACTCTCCATATTGATTCATATCTTGGATAAGACATATATGGTACATTATTCTATTATGGAGATTTAAAGTGCCAGATCCAATATATTTACCGATCCATTGGATTGGCATTCTGCTTTTTTAGCCTGGCCTATTACCAGCCATAACTGACAGGAATGGCTTTCACTTTTTGATCTGCAACTATATATATTGTTTGTTTTATTTGATTTAGACGATCTATATTATTTTTTTCTATAGATCTGTCTAGTAATCATTTTAAATTTATCAACTTTTGGGTGTTTATATGGTAGCACGTTTTTGGGTTTCATATTTGTTTTGTTTAATAAACTTTTATTAT